AAGACATACAATATGTTGTGACATCTTAAAGACTCTTATGTATTTTGATTACTTTGATAAACAACCCTGTTTTGATAAATCAGTAAACAGCAGCTTTAGAAAGAGTTGGGTGAACAGGTTGTTTGCTTCCAGGATACAGTACAGTATTGCGATGATTACATTACGGCGGCAAAGGGCCTTGCATGAGCACCCCAAGCAAAGGTTTTTCCCTCTCATTCCCATCACCAGCCTTGCTTCCCAGTGTTATGGAGAATAAAAGCTACTTATAGGTGGATATTTCCATAACACCAGCTTCTGGCAGGAGTGACTAGTAGGACCAGGTCAACTCTTGGCACATGATATGCTTGGGACGCTTCCAAGTGGCTAGGGGAAAAAATGTGCTATTGTGGCTGCTGAGTTGCGTCTGCTACATGAGAATAGGCCATCAGTGGGTCCTCTTTAAGAGAAAGGCAGGGAATGAATACATCAGTGGTTCTTAACCTTTGTTACTCGGATGCTTTTGAACTGCAACTCCCAGAAACCCCAGTCAGGACAACTGGTGGTGAAGGCTTCTGGGAGTTGCAGTCCAAAACTCCTGAGTAACCCAAGGTTAAGAACCAGTGGAATACATGAATGAATGTATGGTGTGCATTCCAAGCCACCTCTGCCTCGCTTAAAGGGATAAGGCCAAGCCCATTATCCTGAGGTTGAGCCTCTTAAGCAGACCTGGCAGAGGAAAGAACATCGACGTTTGCAGTTCCTACTTTTGACACAATCCAGCATTCCTGAGATCTCTATGAAAACCTTCATAGAACTGAGAACCACATGGCTTGCAGCCTCTGCATTGCTGTTTCTTTCCTACCCCATTCAAATGACAGTTCTTCCCTATTGTTGCCTGAGTCATCCCCCTCGGGGAAGGACTCCAAGTTGCAGAACTGCGGCCGGCTCCTGCCACTGCTTGCTTTCAAGGCCAGTTTGTACCATCCTCAAAATCAAGAGAGACAGCTTTTCACTGCCGGCCTCTACCACTTTAAATGGTAGGAGGGGGGGTGCAATTAAGTGTGTGATTGTGCACTCCCCAGGGGATGGGTGCCTTGCTCAAAGAACACATAATGGTGGAACCACCTGTGTGCATCAAGGTGTCCCTTCCTTGCTCCACTGGAAGGATATTTAAATTTGTAGGCCCCATTCTGTTATGATGGAATGGTTGGGTCCAAGAAAAGAGTTACCACGTGATTCTGCTTCTTGTGATCGGTAAGGGAGAGAGACCTGAGGAAGGTCCCTAAAACTGTATATGGAACCATCCCATTATCATGAACTGAAGACATTCTAATAGCTATTTGGGAAATGTATTCCACACCTATGGCCAGTTTCTATGGTTCTTTTTGATGTGTCCACTTGTTTCATTGTGCAAAGGCATAGGAATCTTTTTACCCCGTTAAGTTCCTCGTCACAAATGCTGTATCTGCTGAAGTGTTACATGTCAGGTTGAGGCACATGCACTGCCATTTGACCATACCTAGCATGGGATAGATAACTACAACATGTGCCTTCTTTTCTCTCTGTCCTTTGACACCTTAACTGCCAAAACACAGAGCAGAGGGTTGTGATACCCCAGACCCTGCATGGCTCCAGTATTGTCAACCCTAACCCTTCACAGTCAACAATGATGAGAGTTGTAGTCCAGCAACATTCCCAATGTGCCCTGTTTATATTCTACCCCAAAAGTCCTGAGTGGTTTTAGATAATCCACTTTATCCCCAGCTTAATACAAGCATAACAATACTGTACAAGCCTGCCTAACACAGTTGGTGTAAGTCTGGATTTATGGGGTAAAAGTATGTTGAATAATTTGATCACCTAACAGTTCCAAAATAATAACATTTATCATGCTTTTTAGTGTTGTTGTTACGATTTATTAATGTTCTCTTTTAAGTCTGCTACCTTTACATCTGCTGGAACCCTCTCCCCCCCACCCATAACCCAGCCTCCACTGGCCTTTCCCTTTCCTGCAGCCAACTCACATTTGAACTCTTTACTGAAAGGAACCAAATTCTAAACAAGACATTATCTTCTCCTCCTTGACTGGCATTGGCCAGTCAAGGACCTGAAAGAAAGAACCTGATTAACCCAAGCTAAGGAGATGCAAAAGAGGGATAGTTGTCTGTAGGAAATGCCCCCCCCCAATATGACTCTTGAATGGTGTTTCTGGGTTTCCTTCCTTTCTTTAAAAGTAGCATGACACTCAATAGTTTTTCTGGTGCACCTTACATGACATAGTTGTGTAATGACAGGAGAAGAATTTTTCCTGCTAATATTTTACTTTATTTTGTATGCTTTCCAACCATTTGTTTGTTTGTTTAGTCGTTTAGTCGTGCCTGACTCTTTGTGACCCCATGGACCACGGCACGCCAGGCCAACCTATCTTCTACTGCCTCCCGGAGCTGGGCCAAATTCATGTTGGTGGCTTTGATGACACTGTCCTACCATCTCATCCTCTGTCGTCCCCTTCTCCGCTTGCCCTCACACTTTCCCAACATCAGGGTCTTTTCCAGAGAGTCTTCTCTTCTCATGAGATGGCCAAAGTACTGGAGCCTCAGCTTCAGGATCTGTCCTTCCAGTGAGCACTCAGGGTTGATTTCCTTCAAAATGGATAGGTTTGTTCTCCTTGCAGTCCAGGGGACTCTCCAGAGCTTCCTCCAGCACCACAGTTCAAAAGCATCAATTCTTCGGCGGTCAGCTTTCTTTATGGTCCAGCTCTCACTTCCGTACATCACTACTGGAAAAACCAAAGCTTTGACTATGCAGACTTTTGTTGGCAAGGTGATATCTCTGCTTTTTTAAAGATGCTGTCGAGGTTTGTCATCGCTTTCCTCCCAAGAAGAAGGCGTCTTTTAATTTCATGGCTGCTGTCACCATCTGCAGTTATCATGGAGCCCAAGAAAGTAAAATCTGTCACTACCTCCATATCTTCCCCTTCTATTTGCCAGGATTTCCAACCATAACAAACTCAAAAACTCCCCTAAGGGGAAAAAGTTGGCAATTCTAGTACTTGCTGGCTTAAGGGTGATGTGGAAATTCTAATTATTGTTTTTTTCCATTGATGACTACAGAAAACAAGGGAGCACTACTTATAACTTTAAGTCTTGTGGAGCAGTAGCCTTTTCCCTCCCCCCACGTTATTCTGTAATTCATGTAGTATATTGATGGTGATATACTATTGACTGATTATATTTCCAAGTAGCTATTTCTGTCATGAAGCACTCAGGCAAACATGCATCAAATAAAACACAGAACCAATAAAACAGCATAGTTTAATATCATAAAACATCACCATGCTATAAAATAGAACCAACCAATGAACACATTGTTATTCGGGTTATAATAATTCTGGGCCAGTTTATACATTCAGTGCGATGAGGGAGTAATCATAGTAATGATTGTGAATTGAACTGGCAGATAAGGAGTTGAACGTTTGAATTCTCTCATGTGAAAAAATAGTGAAAACTTCTTCCTGAGGAAAATAAAACACTGGTATGTGAGGATGAGGGGTGGGAAATTCGGATTAGTTTCATTTATCCTGCCATCGTATTTTCCCCCCCTATGATCAGGAAAGGGGTATGGGATGATGGTGAGGGTCAGAAAAAACAGAAAACACCCCGCCCCACCCTTCCTCCGAGGAGCGCTACAGTCCGGCCACAGCGTCACCGCGTGGTTTCCGCGGAATCTCCGCGAAGTGAACGGACCGTGTGGATCGGGATCGGGGACTGGGCTCTGCAGAGAAGACAGCTGGGGATCGATCGGGACGCTGTGCGGCAGGTCGCAGTACCCAAAGTCTCCAGAGAGGGCGCGGCGACCGGGAAGCTCCGAAAGAGGTTCTGGGCGGAAGGATGCGGAGCAGGAGGGGCGGGAGGCGGTGGGGCGAAGCATGGCACCAGGCGGCGGGGTGGTGATGGCAGGAAGTGGCCGTGGTTCATTTAGCCCGTTGTATAGTGATAATTCCCTCCCCCTCCCATATCTCCGCGATCCTCCTCTCTTCAAACCCCCCCCCACGCCTTAATCCTGAGTGGCACCAAATTTGAAATTCCTACTGAGGCTCATAATTGTAAAGTAGCACTGAGCGCCAGTCTAGTCGCTGCAGCCACACCAAGGGAAATTTTCCCTCTCCAGAGCCCTGCGAATATATGAGCTGGGGAATATAGAGGATTCTTGCAAAAAGTGTGCTTCTGCACCACCTGGTAATAGAGGGCCGGGCGCCTGGGTTCCTTATTGTCTTCGGGAGCTCCATGCCCTTTCTGCTCCCTAGCTGTGGAACAGGCCCCGTGAGCCCAGCTTTTTTCTTGCCCTCCCAACTGGCTTTCTTTTCCCCGCGGGTTGATAGGCACACCATGCCCACCGTGGTCCCCGTTCCCTCTGCGTTCAGCTTTTTCTGCACTTTAGCCGTCTGGATCGGTCTCTTTGCCATCTCCCGACCATCCTGTTAAGCTCCGTCGCTTCCTCTCTCTCCCCCCCCCCCCATCTTTTCCTGCAGATCTTTCATGATTTATCCACCTCCTATTTTCTCTTCCCTTGTGCTTTCTTCTGTCCAGCTCTGTCTGTCTCTCCCCGTCCCTGATGGGATCCGTCTCTCTCTCTCTTTTTCTAAACCCCCCCACCAGTTTTTCCCGCCCATCCTTCTCTTCATCTGTTGAACCCTCGTCTTGTTCCCCCCCTCCTCTCCGGCAGTCTCTGTCCGATGCCTTCTGTCTCTTCACCCGTCCATCCCTGCCCTGTCCTGTCCTGCTCTAGCCTTCCGCCTGTCTGGTCCACGCTCCGGGCCAGCAAGCCAGCGCCTCCCCTACCTCCCCTCCTGCTGCTCCCCGGCCGGCCCGTGCGCTGCCTGGGCTGCGCGCCTCCGCCGCCTGCGATGCAGCCACTCGCTGCTGCCAGCCGCTCGCTCTGCCCCCTCCCTGCCGAATGCAGCCTCACACGCGCACACACATCCACACACACGCACACGCGCGCACACGCACACACACACACACAGGGCGCCGCGAGGGAGGGTGGCAGCGCGGCAGTCAGACGGGCGAGCCGGAGGGAGCGATGAGGATCAGCGCCAACGGGAGCCTTCGCGCCCTCGCCTGGGGACCAGCAGCGCGCCCCCTCCCACCGGGACACCCACCGCCCTGCACCCGGGTTCGTGGCCGCTCTGCCGCCGTCGCCTGCTTTCCGGACACATCTAGCACCCCGCGGGTAAGAACATCGTGAGGAGCCCTTCCCACAGCCCAGATCGCCCCAATGGATTTCGCTTCTTCACGTCCCTTCCTCGGAACACACCCCTTGGCCCCAGGGGTTTGCCAAGTCGGTCCCGGGGGGCACCTCCTTTCCTAAATGTGTCTGTCCCTTCTTCCCTCCGCAAATTCGCCCTTCCCCTCTCTCCAACTTCCCTCTTTTTCCCCATGCCTTCTACCCCACCTTCCCTTTTGCCTTCTGCTACAGATTTGCTCAGTCTACCCATTCTTCATTCCCCCCCTTCCCGGGTTTGGGTTCGGTTCTTCTCTCTTGCTTCCACATTGTTTACCCAGTGAGAAATAGACCGTATTTATTTTCCTGCTGTTGCGCGGCCCCTCTAGCAGGGAATTTAGGAGACAAAGGGTTAATGAGAAAGTTGTGTTTTTTTTAAAACCGGAGGTGCTTCTTGACAAGTGTTCTCTGTTCTCCTCAAAGCTCCCCCGCCCTTCTTTGGGGCTGGCCGCTTACCCAAGTGGAGAACAACCTTCTCACACCTTGAACACCTGCCACACAACAGGCATCTTCTTTGCTTTGCCAAACTCCTCCCTGACAAACCGTCTCAGTTCCATACCTGGGACACAATTAGCGATCAAGGTGCCGTCCTTTAAATGCCCCTTCTGCTGCTTCCAGCTTGAAGCCAGCACTCCGTCCTCCAGCCACCAGTTCGTTAGAAGTCAACTGGAGCGGGGGAATTATTGTTGCAGGAATTGATTGCAAATCACCTTGTTCTTTTAGACCTGAGTCCATTTATAGGATTCTAGGATCCCATGGCCCTAATAAGCTTCTAAATCTCTGTTTCCTTCCAGAAATGGAGAGAGGAATTTTTTTTGTTTCCCAGGTGGTGTCTCCCCTCCAACTCTCATGAGTACTTGGAACATGATTCTCATCCAACGTTTCTGGTTTTATGCTTTAGAAACTTGGCTAGTTTATAATTTGGGAACTGCCGCATTCACTACAAAAATGCAAGCTAGACACACACTGTGGTTTCTCACTCGCAGTCTTGCTTGTTTCTTTCTCTCCCTCCCCCAACACCACCATTCCCACAGCAGCATTTGATCTGCTCCTCTAAAACAGACCATATCAACTGAACCCTCTTTCTTCCTCCACCATTGCACCCTTCCATCTATTTTCAGTCCTATTGGGAAGAAAAAGCCAAGAGAAGGAAGACAAACAGCAGAGGAATACAGCAATACGTTGCAGATTTCTGGACAAGTTTCCACGCTTGTTCATGTTGCATAGAGCTGCTGGGACTAATTCATCTGGCACTCTAGAAACCATGAAGACCATCACTCTCACGGACATTACCTTCCTTTGACCTCGGCCACATACTCCTAAAGTTTAACGTCATATTGATAGATAGCGACTTCAATACCAAGCTGGTTGTCTGGTTGAGAGATCTCTAGGTACACTTCAACTTGTTAATATCCCATGAAAGCAGCTTGGATATTACAGTGTGCAAGGAAATGAAAAAAACTTCTTTCTTAGTGGAATAACGCTAGAGTATATATGTGGATGTTGATATCTGGAGAAGAGCAAGACTGGAATTAAATCAGACTCGGACTCAACAGCCATGTCTCTATTGGGGCCCTCTGATCCTCTAGTTCTAGGACACAACTAAGCAAAGGGGTAAGTCTTTCAGTCCTCCTTCCTTCGACAACCACATTTCAGTGAAAGTCTTTGCTAGGACAATCCTTGGAGCACAGTTGGGTTTCGATGGTGAACCATCTCTGTAAACATTCTCTTCAGAGCTAACTCCATACAAGATGGCTGCAGGAGTGGCGGCATGGTTGCCCTTTGCCCGGGCAGCTGCCGTGGGCTGGCTCCCACTGGCCAAGAAGCCAATGCCTAAGCCTCCCATTGACAAGAAGCGCCGCACTGATGAGATCCTGGTGGTCAACGTCAGTGGGAGACGTTTCCAGACTTGGAAGAATACCTTGGACCGTTATCCAGATACCCTGTTAGGCAGCTCGGAGAAGGAATTCTTCTATGATGAAGACAGCACAGAATACTTCTTTGACCGTGACCCAGAGATGTTCCGTCATATCCTCAACTTCTACCGTACTGGCCGACTCCATTACCCGCGACATGAGTGCATACAGGCCTTTGATGAAGAGCTGTCGTTCTATGGCATCATCCCAGAATTGATTGGCGACTGCTGCTTGGAGGAATACCGGGATCGCAAAAAAGAGAATGCGGAACGCCTTGCTGAGGATGAAGAAGCCGAGATTGCCACTGACACTGCCTTGCCACCGGACAGCACGTTTCGCCAACGGCTCTGGAGAGCGTTTGAAAACCCCCACACCAGCACCATGGCCTTGGTCTTCTATTATGTGACTGGGTTCTTCATTGCCGTGTCAGTCATTGCCAACGTGGTGGAGACCATCCCATGCCGGCCACCTCCTGGGAAAAAGAAACAACTGTCCTGTGGAGAACGTTTCCCCAAAGCTTTCTTCTGCATGGACACGGCCTGTGTCCTCATCTTCACTTTTGAGTATCTCATGCGGCTTTTTGCCGCCCCAAGTCGATTCAAGTTCATGAAGAGTGTGATGAGCATCATCGATGTAGTGGCCATCATGCCCTACTACATTGGGCTGGTGATGCCAGAGAACGAAAATGTCAGTGGGGCCTTTGTGACTCTGAGGGTCTTCCGGGTTTTCCGCATCTTCAAATTTTCACGCCACTCACAAGGACTCAGGATCCTAGGCTACACCCTCAAGAGCTGTGCCTCAGAGTTGGGCTTCCTCCTCTTCTCCCTCACCATGGCCATCATCATCTTTGCCACTGTTATGTTCTATGCTGAGAAGGGAACAAAGGAGACCAACTTCACCAGTATCCCTGCTGCCTTCTGGTACACGATTGTCACCATGACCACACTTGGGTGAGTTGTGCACATCCACAGTGTGCTCCCATGGGAGGTGATCCTGTGTGCTATTCTCTACCACTAGAGTTTCTTTTGTCCTTTTCCCTCGAGATGTTTCCTCCAACCATATTTCTTCATGAGGATTAATATCCAGATTTTCTATACTAGTTTGCTATTTCACCTACTGACCACCTGGTTTCTTCATACTGAAAGTACTCTGAAGCAGGTTGGTTCCCTATAAAGGGTAGTGGCATTGAAGGGTTTTCCCTTATCGCTTTTAGGTGTCTTCAGGGGATATAGAACCAATTGGTTCTACATCCCCTGAAGTTTTGGACTTCTACTTCCAGAAGTCCCAGCCAGTATAGCCAGTGGTAAGGGATAACGGGAAATATGTTTCACAAAACATCTGGAGATCCAAAAGTTCTCCACCCCTGCACTATGCATTTCATGAGACAATGGCATCTTATTTTGTTCCCAAGATAGAAATTATACCCACACGACTAGCAGATCAGTAAGCCCTGAGATGATACAGGCGTCTTTTCTGGGTAAGTGAGACAATGTTCAGTGGGATGGGGATACCTCTTCCTGTTTGACTTTAAAGGCAAGTCAGCTGAAAACTGGCCCAGCTTCCATTTTCGCCAAGACACCAATTTCTTTAAAACGTGCCCCTTCCCATGCAGATGGTGTTACCCTGGAGGGATGAGAACATTGCAAAAAGTGTTGTGAGCATTGGGACAAGGGAGAATTGGGGTGAGGCCTCTTGTTGTCAAATGAAGAGTAACCACAATCAGAGGATGGGCAATAAGAAAGGAAAAGTTCAGGGTCTAGGAAAGGTGTGAGAATTTAATGGAGCATTTTCTCAGGAAAGAGGGGGAAATGGCTTTTTGTATACATTGTGAATGAGAGGTTTGTGACATTTCTCCCCAACACCTACTGCTCAAATCTCCTTTCTGCAAGGTGTTCTTGTTCATGCTTAGACTGCAAGCTTTTTCTGTGCTATTCTGTGACCACAAATGTTCTTTGCTCAGTTTTCACCCTGGAATTTTGAATGTAGGCATATCGGTTTTAGGGTTGTATGTTGCCGAAAATCAAACACTGATTTTGTGCAGGTGTGTTTGCACAGGTACACATGCATGTCTCTAAGTCTCAAATTACTATTGGAATTTTGGCATTTCAGAATGTTGGCCATTCCATTTTTTGGTCCAAATGAAGACCATATGAAGAAGAGTAGAAAATCTGAGATATAACAGTCCTGCAAGAGTCCAATATAACATTTCAGTTCTAGTTTCTTTCAGGACTTTGGTGCGGCTGCAGTCCACCTTGCTATCGCTGAGATTACTATGTGTGAGAGGACTTATGTAGAATCAGTAGAATATGTGGCACCTTAATAGACTGTCAATAGCAAAAGATAAGTTGCAGCCCCAAAAAGTCTACTTCACAACAAAATTGCAGACAATCTGAAGGAGCATCAGGAAAAGCATGGTAAGGCGCAAGGCTAACAAGAGATAACTACATGTAGATAACTACATGCAAACGCTGGAAAAAGGCAACAGAAGGTTTGGTGCTTGGGGTTTGGAACCAGTAATTTCTAGGGGCAGGACTGAGAAACCTTTGTGGGTCCATAGGCTAATTTTCTGGCCCAGAAACACACTGAGGGCTGCACAGGCCACCAAAAACAAACAAACAAAAATAAGAGTCCAACAAACAACAAATAAAGCTGGAAAAAAAATCTAGAAATCCAGTTCTGGAAAATGGCCGTTATTTGCTATTGAATTGTGACCTGTCTCCTATTTAGAAAGTGAATTGCAGCTCCTGGAGGCTGGTAGGAACTGGGACCCACCTTTTTAGTGTGGTGGAGGGAAAAGTGGGGCTGGCGATAGCCAGGAAATGCAAAAACAGCCTGATTATTGACAAAGGATTTTTGAGTTGCCCACATATTAATGAATGATCATTAGTGGTGTCTGTCTCTACAAGTAGATTCCCAGCTGAAGCTGGATGTTATTGGGAAGTGACAGGGTGCTGCAGAAATGTAAGTAGAATCAAAGCTGCTGAGGTAAAAATCCATCAGCTTCCATCTGAGGATGGTTATGGAAGTGTGCTGAGGCTGTGAATGGCATTAATCTTTACTTACTTCCATCCTCACCTGTCCTTTGAGGACCTTCAAGGGTGGCAAGGAGAGTAAGGCAGTTAAAGTTATTTCATCATTAAAGGTAAAGGTGAAGGTTCCCCTTGACATTTAGTCCAGTCATGTCCGCCTCTGGGGCTCGGTGCTCATCCCCGTTTCCAACCCATAGAGCCAGCATTTTGTCTGAAGACAGTTTCTGTGGTCACGTGGCCAGCGTGACGAGACACGGAACACCGTTACCTTCCCACCGAGATGGTACCTATTTATCTACTTGCTTTTTTACATGCTTTTGAACTGCTAGGTTGGCAGGAGCTGGGACAAGCGACGGGAGTTCACTCCATCGTATGGATTTGATCTGCAGCCCTAAAAATTACATTTAAGCTGAGGAAGTACTGCTGGCCCATGGTGTAGTAAGCAGTGATTCAAACTCGGACAACAAGTCTCTCACCATTACATAACATACTGGCTTTAGAAGGGGCACAACACCCCTTCTAAGGAGACCGTGAGGAAAAGGTTAAGGTCTTGGTTAAGAGGGGAAGCAAGTTATAACTCCTCCTTATAATGAAACTTATTATACCCTGTTCTATGTCACGGGGGGAGGGGAAATGAACTAGATTCTGGAAAGTTAGACAAAGACATGTATAGTCTCCATTTATCTACCACACTGGTTCTTAACCTTGGGTTACTCAGGAGTTTTGGACTGCAACTCCCAGAAGCCTTCACCACCAACTGTGCTGGCTGGGGTTTCTGGGAGTTGCAGTTCAAAAACATCCGAGTAACAAAGGTTAAGAACCACTGATCTACCATACCAGAACCTGCCCCAACCTGGTAAGTGCTGCTGCCCAATAAACCAACATGCTTTCCTGTGCCACTAGACCACCCGCCTCATATTGCCATCCATGATCAGACAGCATGACCTCTGAGCTCCAAGACTCCTGTCTCATGGTCTGGAAGCCTAGCAATTCCATAGACATCATCCCCTTTCCCTATTCCTACTGTTGCACCACTCAGGTCTCCCCTTCTCTGTTTCAACCTTCTCTCCGTGCCCCCAATACTTCTTGGTTAACCCCAGCTCTTCATGCAGGCATGAATTATTGTGACAACCATTTAGCTGCCAAAGTGGCAGCTGGGCATTGGGTCCAGACGTTGGCACACATGACATGGCTCCAAGAGCAAACGTCTGCATCATACGAATCCCACTGGTGCCACATGCAGTTTTTGATATAAGAGGTAACTGAAGAGTCTCAGCATGATGTTACATGCCCCAGGCTGTTTACAACCTTGGTTACCCCCGCCTCCACAATGTGGTGGGTAGGTACCTGTATCTTAAACATTTGAGGGCTCGCAGATATGTGGTCTTTGCTCCACAATCTCAGATTTGCCCTGGGACCTTTTATCTGATCCTGCCTTGTTTCTCTAAATAGAGCAATGCTCTTGGTTTGCTCTTCTCTCCCTATGCTGTATAGCGTCCAGTCTAGCCACGTCTTCTCATTCAGCATAAAGCTAAATGTGTCCCCATCTCTCTTTCTCTCCCTATGCTGTACTGTATAGTGTCCAGTCTATCTTGCCACATCCCCTCATTTAGCATAAAGCTAAATGTGTCCCCATCTCTCTGTCACTTCTCCCTCTATAAAATACATCCTTTACTTTGAATATTGCAGTAGCGACAAGGTACCCCACCTCTGCTTTACTGTCTGAAGATGGATCACAGAGAACAGAGGAGAAGGAAGCCAAGACCTGATTTAGATCCATTTGGGAAATATTAAAGAAAATCAATAAAACAGGGACCCAGAGGTATTGGGATTGGTTTCAAGGTCAGTGCTGCTTAGAGCAGTCATCGGAGAGATTTTATTAATTTCTTTGTTTCTAAGAAGAAAGATAATTGGAGGTGGCCTTAGCATGAGGCAGTTGCCTCAGGTGGCAGATAATAGGGGGCAGCAGTATGGCATTGGAGGAGAGAGCTGTGTGCCACTCAGTCTGCAGTGCACCCACTTGAGCTGATGGGCTGCCTTCAGGTGTGGTGCAGGATGAGGTCCTCTTGGCAGGGTTGGAAAAAAAATCCACTGCCAATCCAGTTAGCCTTTGCACATGAAATGAGTTGAAGGGCATTTTGGTCCTCACCTCAGACAACAAAGTATCTCAGCTGGTCCTGGAAGCAGTTGGTTTTGATATAGGTTTGCATTCTCAGGTATGTATGTGTGGGTGGATTACACTTTTCAGTCATGAAGAAGTAGTTTGCAGGTGCTTAGAGAGTTCATATTTAGCATTGCATGTACCAGGAGTGAATCTTGCTGTTCCAAACTGGTGATAAGACTAAGCGCTAGCTCAGAATTAACCTTTGCAAGAAGGAGGGCAAGATCTGGAGCACCAGCTGATCTTGGTTTGTATTTCCTGGTTTGTCTCCAATCAGGGAACAGAGGAACAAAAGATCAATTTCTCAATCACTGGAGAAATCTGGCCTGTGCATGTACTATTTTTTTATCCCACCCATTGTAACTGCGGATCATGCTTGAGGCTGAGAGTGTGGATGACGAATGAGCTGGCGGAGCTGTTGGAGGTGGATTCTGATCATCCACCCCTCCAAGTTCAGAGAAGTAGAGGATAGCCAGTGTACCATGGATCTGTGGGCAAAAGCCACACACGTGGAGAAGGACACTGTGGCAGAGATCATTTCCCCTCCCATAAGCTCTACCATAGTTGTTTGTGCCAGATTTAAAATCAAGAGACAGAAGTTGGTGCTTCTGAACTGGGGTAAACATAGTTTTGGGTTTCAAACACACTTTGGAAGTAGAGCAGCTGGGAAAGAGAATCCAAGGTTGCAGCTGAAGGCTGTGGGTTGGGATTGATGGCAGGCCATAAAAGAGCAGAGGGGCAGCAAATAAACAGGTGGTGG